TGTGGCACCCGAGTATTTAAACTTTGGCTGCTTGCTGGGATCGGCATCAGTTCGGCTTTGCCAATCCAGCAGTGCACTTGCAAATCAGTGTGTGGTTCCACCAATTTGCTCCGCAGGCTCGATTGTTGCTGAGTCCAGTTGAACACCGAAGAATCAAGGAAAAAAACCCTCTTCACTTCAAATCTCATCATCATGAAACTCGTAAGCTTCATTTGCGCGTAATAATCGATTTTCGATTTTTTGCACCTTTTTTTGGTAAACAATCTTATTCGAACAATAGGCAAGAAAAAGTTTTATAAAGTTTTAAATCCTCCAGCTTGACCCACAGGCTCGCAATCAGAGCTGCGTGAATGTTTCGAATGTTTTCAAGAATTACTTTTAAAAAATTTTCATATGTATGGTTAATATTTTACCGCTGTTTCTGCAAACAATATTTTGAACAAGCATGGAAAAGTTGGCAATGTTTCAAATGCTTTTAGTTATACAGGTTTTCGGGGGTTTGGGAATAAGAGAGTAATGAGGCTCATGAAGTCCAGTAGCAGTTTTAAGGAAGTATGAGCAATTTAATATGCAATTAATGGGATGTTCCACAGCCCCGAAAAGTAGAGTCCTCGAAAAAACACTGCGATGGAATGAAACATTTGCCAAAAAGAATTGAAAATTTGTAACATTCATGAATTTAGAAAAAGTTGGACTGAAGAAGATGTTCCCACGGAATGAATTATATATTATTTTGTCAGAATTTTGAGGTACGAAATCGAATGATATTAGAATTCTCCAAATGGCTCAGTCATGAAAATAAATTCTGCAAAAGGAGCTCTAAAATACAATTTGGGTATTTATAGATGAGTTTCCTGCTGTCAGAAGGAATCAAATAAGTTGTATCTGCTTATATTCTAAGTAAAAAAAAGTTTACGTAGATATTTAAATGGTGGATTTTATGACCAAAATACCTGGAAAATAGACTGATATAATTCCATTATTTATCAATTTACAATACGGTGCGACATTTTTTGACTGAATACAAATATTCGGCGATTTTAGTGAATTTAATTGCATGTCAGTTGATGCGTGGACTTGAAAAAAAAGGCTGGAAGCTAAATTTTCCTGTTTCAATTTTTCCGTTACCCTCTAAAAAAAATTGTGGACTTCAAATTGCAGTTCAGGCATAAAATTGGATGTAATTATTTTCTCTTTTGAACTTTCGTAACCGTGGAAGCGGCATCTGTGGGTAATCATCCATAACTCAGCTTACAATGAAATTCGAGAAGAATGTATGAAATTCACGTTATCATTCATACCTCATCAATTCCAATCAGATTCTAACTGACGATGGCAGATGGGATACATTTTTGAGTATTCGCAATTTGCTTTTAATCTCAGTCGACATGCATGAAGCTGCTTTTTTATTCTACAGTATATAGAAAACATTTTGAATCTATGCTCAAAACTTGCAAAGAAACAGTTCTCGGGACCTTTCTTAAAAGTTGGATTGTGATTCCCTCATATACATTGAAAAAAACTTTTCCAAATTTCATACTGCAATACACAGTGCTACAAATGTAATAAAATTGTTCTTACTGATATCGTGGATACTGCGATAGAATAATAATAACTTTCAACTCTAATCTTATTTTGTTAATAACCGCGGATGTCTTGCCCGAATATTTGTAATTTTTTTTATCAAATTGTGTGTCAGAAAATGAGACTCATGTAAAATGAACGGAACATTAGCCTATTTAGTTCTTTTTATTCGCAAGTTTTCTACTTCATCAGTCTAAATACGTAATTTGCCCACCGAAGCAAAATACAGAGCTTCGAGTTCAAATTTTCAAATTTGTTATTTGTTCGACGTACACATTTTCTCGGTGAATATATGAAGCCAATAAATTATGGGTAAAAAAAAAATACCGTGTATTTACCCCGAGAATGCTACAAAAGTCTCGAGTTTTCAACTATAGTTTGTCTAGGTACCGGTTTCATTGCATTCTGAGTCCTTACATCGATATGCATCAGTAAAATCTTCTTACAACATAACCCAGTGGAACCAGTAAAGTAGGTTCGTGAAAAAAATAGAAAAAATGTCTTCGTAAAGTAACTCACCTAACAGTATGACTATTAAAAAAAATACGTTGCTATAGCGATTGCTCGTTTCACCGACATTCCTTGCAAGTGGATTCCATTGCATTATTCGTTTCGTTCCAAATTTTTGCAGACACTCACACTCGTTGCCCTGGCTGCGGTTTGCGCCGCGGTTGCTAGCGCCGCCGACGCAGACATGACAGCAGCGGAATCCAAGTACGTCCGCCGCCACGGCGGCTACAAGGGCGGCTACAAAAAGCACATCGACGACGACATGTTCGGCGCCGAATCCAAACACTACGGCCGCCGCTACAAGGGCAAGAAACACATCGACGGCGGAGAAGAAGAAGAAGTGGCGGTCGAGGAAATGGCTGGCGAAGAGTCCAAGCACCACGGAGGGCGC